GGTAGCCTGTTACATTACAGTACATAAGATTTCACTTACCACATAAACAGAGTAAGGAGAGATGACTGAGAATGATGGCGAATGATTTACAGATCCTGAGCACCACTGACAAGCATCTGATCTTGTAAAATGTGTGGTAAGTACTGCCGCTGTAGTTTACACAGCACGTGATCAACGATCGTGCATTCGAATGCAGTTTCAATGCCCTGCATATTAATATGCGGCTCCCTGATGCCCGCATTTTATATACAGTATAATTACCCAACGATATAACCGTGAGAGACAGTATTGAAATATATATTTTCACTGTTTCCTTCCTGCTGTGTGAGCTACTGAAATGAGCCGCACTGCGAAACAGCCAATCAGAGCAGAGCTCAACATTATTATTCATGACCCTTCCAAATAATGTAAAAACGGACCATTTCATTCTAGGGACAAAACCTAGGGTTGTAAATGGACATGTAGAACCGTTTCTGGAGATTTTTTGCCCTTACCTAAGCCTTTGCTGCATACCTTATATGTAGATATCAGAGAACAATTAAAAAGTTTGTATAAATGCATTCTATGGCACCATTAAATTAGGGTAAATACTGAATAGTTTTGTAGAAAATAAGATTTAAAAAAATTTTCTTTCAGATAAACTTCAGATGTAAACCATCTTTCAGGGAGTCAGGTTCACGGAACATCCGGGAAGTGAGTTTCTTCTTTTCCTCTTCTTTTCGTTATTTTCTAAATATCTCTTCCATTGTGCCTGTTTTCTGATTCTGTCAAACTTATTGCTGCAAAACCTTCATAGCTTGATATAAACAGCCAACAGCAGTGTGCTAAAAGACAGTTTTTTTTTTGTAGTCATTTTATTTTTATTATTTATAAATTAAATTTTTAAGATAAGTTCTTCGTTTTCTTCATTGTTATTTGTAAGTTTAAGATTTGTAAGTAGCTCTATGCAGCTGTCTGAATGACCCCAGACTGTTTTACACACACACACTTCAGGGGCAGGTGCTGTTTGCTGTTTGTAAATCTTTATTTTACCCTTTTTACTCTGTTTTCCTTTTTACGCGTCCCATATGTCACTCTCACTGCTGTAATCCGTCCCTCGTCGTCTCATCCTTTTCTCTCCATTGCACTTCTGCTCCTCTGTGTGCCTTGTCTCTTCCTGTCTCCCATCTTGCCTTGGTGGGTTAGCATACCTGGCGACGCAGGGCTTTCAGAGGTTGCCGTGCTTTGGAGCAAATGAGAGGTGCTGCAGCTAAATGTAATGTGCACACCTCTATCACACAGGTATCACACACACATTCACACAGCTGTGATGACACCTTTACTTGGCTAAATGAGGGCTCGTACATTTCTGTTAAATAAATCTAATTACAATTACTACAAACTAACTAGTTAGTTTCGATTAGAATTGTTTCGTGTTCACAATAAATACATAATGATTCACAAATAAATTTAGTGAAATTTACTCAAACAAATTCACAACTAAACACAATAATATGTACAAATGTGTAATTAATTATTTAATTAATTAAACCAGCTTTGTATTGTTACAATGTCATTAGTATATGTAAATGAACATTGTGTGAAAGTTTCAAATCTATTTGTACTGTTGTCTGAAGTAATGCAATCACGTGGAGAAATTGAAAGGGGGCATTATAGTTATTATAGTTATATTATGGTGAACTCTATTTTCTAAAGTCGCGTTGCGTCACGTTGTGCCACTCACGTCCGGTACATTGTGTAAGCCCAAACTATAACCCTTAACCCTAAAAGACTACAAAAAACGTATTGATAGATAAGTTAATAATAATTAATTTATACTTTATTTTTATAACTTAAAAAATCTGAAACATTTTTTCGTATGGGTATGTCTAAGGGAGTTTGTACCAAAGTATTTAAGTATACTTTTTTCCACACTCATGCAGGCATTTCATCATGGCATTCAACTCAGTTTACAGGCATTTGGAATGCATCTCCAGAGGTCTTCTGTTCTCCTGATTTCTGTTCTGCTGTCTGCTCCTGTTCATACCATATCCCAAACCTCAGATTTGATCTTAATACCCCACAGCATAACCCCACAACATTACTGGTTTAATGTGGCATTTTAAGCACAGATTGTCGTAATCTATGGATGGCACAGCTAAATGAGATCTTGTGTTTTTTATGGCAGCCAGCAATAGTGCGACACCACTGGGTCCATCGGAGAAGACAAGAGGGCAAATGCAAACAGTGTGGAAAGGTGGGTAGAATGGATCACAGCAAGAGTGTGTATTTGAGAAATTATATGTACATTTCAAAAGGCTAATGAATGAATTCTAAAGCTTATAACAGAATCTGATCTCCACCTACAGGGGTTTCAGCAGAAATTTGCCTTTCACAGTAAAGAGATTGTAGCCATTAGCTGCTCCTGGTGCAAACAAGCAGTAAGTCTCTCAAGCTGTTTGCATTAGTGTGTTTTCATATCGTAGAGTATGTAAATGTGTGTAAATTTCCTCTCTTTCTCTTTCTGTCTGCAGTATCATAATAAGGTGACATGCTTTATGCTGCAGCAGATAGAAGAACCGTGTTCATTAGGAGCACATGCCGCCGTTATAGTACCTCCTACCTGGATCATACGGGTTCGCCGACCTCAGGTATGCACACTCTGTTAGGGTTGTTAGGCAGTTTTATGGGAAACATCCACAAATTGGATTAGATAATGAATTGAATTTGGTGGCTGTGTAAATTATTAAGCAATGCTATCAGCATCTCTATGGCTAAATTAAATGTAAAACGTGAGATGTAAACACCTTCGGTACAAACCCCAAGGCATTCTGGCTGCAATTTCTGCACATTTTCAAATCGTGGTGTAGTATTACTTTTTCAAACATTTTTTAAGAAATGGTCTGGTCTGTTTTACTATGTTCTGAAATGTTTTTGTCTTCTTGAATTGTTTAAAAACTCCAACATACAAAATGTATGAGACAGCATTCTTTGTTCAGCACTCAATTAGAATAAGTATAAGTAGTTTAAAGAAAAAAATGGCAGTTGTGTTCTGTGTTTTCCATTAATTTTAAACGCTCAGAAACTGTATAGAACCAGAGAGCATTTTTATGCTGAAATGTAAATCTTTTCATCCACAGGTACTGTAGTTTTCCATTGTGTTTCTAATGATTGTGATTTCGCTGTGGAGTTTGTCTCTTCCTGTCTCCCATCTTGCCTTGGTGGGTTAGCATACCTGGCGACGCAGGGCTTTCAGAGGTTGCCGTGCTTTGGAGCAAATGAGAGGTGCTGCAGCTAAATGTAATGTGCACACCTCTATCACACAGGTATCACACACACATTCACACAGCTGTGATGACACCTTTACTTGGCTAAATGAGGGCTCGTACATTTCTGTTAAATAAATCTAATTACAATTACTACAAACTAACTAGTTAGTTTCGATTAGAATTGTTTCGTGTTCACAATAAATACATAATGATTCACAAATAAACACAATAATATGTACAAATGTGTAATTAATTATTTAATTAATTAAACCAGCTTTGTATTGTTACAATGTCATTAGTATATGTAAATGAACATTGTGTGAAAGTTTCAAATCTATTTGTACAGTTGTCTGAAGTAATGCAATCACGTGGAGAAATTGAAAGGGGGCATTATAGTTATTATAGTTATATTATGGTGAACTCTATTTTCTAAAGTCGCGTTGCGTCACGTTGTGCCACTCACGTCCGGTACATTGTGTAAGCCCAAACTATAACCCTTAACCCTAAAAGACTACAAAAACGTATTGATAGATAAATTAATAATAATTAATTTATACTTTATTTTTATAACTTAAAAAAATCTGAAACATTTTTTCGTATGGGTATGTCTAAGGGAGTTTGTACCAAAGTATTTAAGTATACTTTTTTCCACACTCATGCAGGCATTTCATCATGGCATTCAACTCAGTTTACAGGCATTTGGAATGCATCTCCAGAGGTCTTCTGTTCTCCTGATTTCTGTTCTGCTGTCTGCTCCTGTTCATACCATATCCCAAACCTCAGATTTGATCTTAATACCCCACAGCATAACCCCACAACATTACTGGTTTAATGTGGCATTTTAAGCACAGATTGTCATAATCTATGGATGGCACAGCTAAATGAGATCTTGTGTTTTTTATGGCAGCCAGCAATAGTGCGACACCACTGGGTCCATCGGAGAAGACAAGAGGGCAAATGCAAACAGTGTGGAAAGGTGGGTAGAATGGATCACAGCAAGAGTGTGTATTTGAGAAATTATATGTACATTTCAAAAGGCTAATGAATGAATTCTAAAGCTTATAACAGAATCTGATCTCCACCTACAGGGGTTTCAGCAGAAATTTGCCTTTCACAGTAAAGAGATTGTAGCCATTAGCTGCTCCTGGTGCAAACAAGCAGTAAGTCTCTCAAGCTGTTTGCATTAGTGTGTTTTCATATCGTAGAGTATGTAAATGTGTGTAAATTTCCTCTCTTTCTCTTTCTGTCTGCAGTATCATAATAAGGTGACATGCTTTATGCTGCAGCAGATAGAAGAACCGTGTTCATTAGGAGCACATGCCGCCGTTATAGTACCTCCTACCTGGATCATACGGGTTCGCCGACCTCAGGTATGCACACTCTGTTAGGGTTGTTAGGCAGTTTTATGGGAAACATCCACAAATTGGATTAGATAATGAATTGAATTTGGTGGCTGTGTAAATTATTAAGCAATGCTATCAGCATCTCTATGGCTAAATTAAATGTAAAACGCTAAATATAAACACCTTCAGTACAAACTCTAAGGCATTCTGGCTACAATACTCTGAGCAGCATTTCTACAAACTAATCTAAATCTTCAAATCGTGGTGTAGTATTGCTCTGTAGTATGTTCCGCTCTGTTTTACTATGTTCTGAAATTTTTTATCTTCACTGAATTGTTTAAAAACTCCAACACACAAAATGTCTGATACAGCATAGGGCTGGGCGATATGATGATATATCGTATATCGACGATGTCTCGTAAGTATCGCGATGTCGATGTCAACAGTCAGGTAACAGACGATTATCGACATTATCGGGAAAAAAATGTTGTTGCAAAAAATATTTTACATGGCCCCATAGTCACCTTTCAGGTCTTTTTGCATGCAAGAATGAAATAATTTAGTAGGAGGGTTGGGAATCGAAAAGCTATTCCAATTTCGGAAATCAGATGAAATGCGTAAGGTCAAGATTTAAATTATTGTTATAAAATTACATTTCGATTCTGCTTCTCGATTTCTGTATGCACATTTATTGTGATTTCAAAAGATTCAACTGCAAGAAGATGAAATAGAACTCACTTCTGCACTTGCGCGGCTGTTTTCTGTGCTGCGCACACACAAAAGCCACCTCTTATATACACGAACACTGGACTGAGCTCTCTTTCTCGCATTCTTAAACATTCGAATGGACAAATACACACAGAATTATATCAAAATATCTCATAAATTAGGGATGCAGTGCTGCAGCACACATGTCAGCAGTGTGGAAGCATGTAAACTGTCCGAGAAAGACACAAAAATCATTACAAGCACTGACAGCGAGACTGTAGTGCTGACTGTAGACTTTAGTACTGCATCACATAACTTCCATGAGAAGAGGAAGGGGTGATTGTTGCTGGTTTACTGTATGATGATTGAAATGGCCTTAAACAATTCGTAAATAAACTGCAGAAAGTTATGTTTTCTAATACATGCACGAATTGCATGTATTCTGACAGCACTGCATGAACTTGCAGCGGATCTGCTTATAGGGTTCAAAGTCCAAAGTGAAAATCTGTGCTCAGTTGCTCAAATCAGTTGCTCAGTCACATTTTTATGAATTTTTACAAGGCATGTGACAATGCGATACGTGCGACGTATTCGTAATGAGACTCATTTATAAATCTGATGTCAACAAAAATAAGCATTGCTGTCTTCCTGTGCGTTTCCGCCAAAATAAAACTTGACAAAAAGCAAGAACTCCAACATTCATAAATGTTAGTATTGTAATTTTACTGTTGTTCTGTAAAACAAAATAAAAAGTAAGAGAATAATAATTATAATAATTACAACAGCTCTGTTAATACATTTATTATAACACACACAGTGTTCAAATTGGGATCTATATAATATTTTCTAATGTTTTAAAAGAAGTCTCTTCTGCTCAGCAAGGCTGCTTTTAATTTTACAGTAAAAAATACATGCCTGATTCAAGAAGGGGTTCTTATCGCCAAAGAATATTATTTTAGTAACTTATTAATTTTAAAACAATTCGTAAATAAACTGCAGAAAGTTATGTTTTCTAATACATGCACGAATTGCATGTATTCTGACAGCACTGCACGAACTTGCAGCGGATCTGCTTATAGGGTTCAAAGTCCAAAGTGAAAATCTGTGCTCAGTTGCTCAGTCACATTTTTATTAATTTTTACAAGGCATGTGACAATGCGATACGTGCGACGTATTCGTAATGAGACTCATTTATAAATCTGATGTCAACAAAAATAAGCATTGCTGTCTTCCTGTGCGTTTCCGCCAAAATAAAACTTGACAAAAAGCAAGAACTCCAACATTCATAAATGTTAGTATTGTAATTTTACTGTTGTTCTGTAAAACAAAATAAAAAGTAAGAGAATAATAATAATAATAATTACAACAGCTCTGTTAATACATTTATTATAACACATAGAGTGTTCAAATTGGGATCTATATAATATTTTCTAATGTTTTAAAAGAAGTCTCTTCTGCTCAGCAAGGCTGCTTTTAATTTTACAATAAAAAATACATGCCTGATTCAAGAAGGGGTTCTGATCGCCAAAGAATATTATTTTAGTAACTTATTAATTTTAAGTTAAAATGTTCTTTGTTGGTATAATGTCTGCTAGAATGTTAAAAAATGTTTAGAGTTAAATGTTTTTAAATTGTTGTGTAATTTATTTATTTTTCTTTGAAAAACAAGACAAAACAGTAAAAAGCACATTTAGGCTATTTACACTGAACAAAATTATAAACACAACACTTTTGTTTTTGCCCCCATTTTTCATGAGCTGAACTCAAAGATCTAAGACTTTTTCTATGTACACAAAAGGCCTATTTCTCTAAAATATTGTTCACATGTTTTTCTACACTGGTGGGGACTTGAACCTGAATACACACCAACTCATGGGGATTTGTGTCACCGTTGGGACCTAAATTGAGGTCCCCATGGGTACAGAAGCTTATAAATCATCCCTAATGAGTTTGTGTGTGTGTGTGTGTGTGTGTGTGTCTGTGTGCGCATGTTTTTCTATACTGGTGGGGAATTGAACCTGAATACCCACCAACTCATGGGGACTTGTGTCACCGTTGGGACCTAAATTGAGGTCCCCATGGGTACAGAAGCTTATAAATCATCCCTAATGAGTTTTTTTTAGATTGAAAACAATTTTTTTCTTTGAGAGGTAGGGTTGGTGTAGGGCGATAGAAAATAGTTTGTACAATATAAAAACCATTACGCCTATGGGGAGTCCCCACAAGGATAGTGAACCAGACGTGTGTGTGTGTGTGTATATGTGACAAAATAATCTGCTAAGAAATAGTCTGTGATCACCTTTTGTTGATATTAGGGGAATGATTTATGTAGGAATTATGAACCCCTCCAGCAGGGGGGCGGTACTGCAGTCTTATCTCCTAGCCTGTGAGCGGTGCGAGAGATGATTCTCCTTAGTCATAATACTATGACACTATTCAGATGAGTCATGTGTTTGAGGAGTTTTCTGACATATAGTGCTGATGTGTGTGTCCTGGTTTACCCCATGCTGTCACATTTCTGTAATCCGTCTGTGTGAGTAATTAAGAGTGTTAAAGTGGAATCTGAACGCAGTCATATTTCATACCCTGACTCTGATCCATGAGAGAGAAGTTTGGGAATAATGCCTTAAACCCAACTGAAATAAGGAGTTTTAATCCACCCTTCCCATCACTTGTCTTCCACCCTGCTGAACTGGTTTATGTAGGAATTATGAACCCCTCCAGCAGGGGGGGCGGTACTGCAGTCTTATCTCCTAGCCTGTGAGCGGTGCAAGAGATGATTCTCCTTAGTCATAATACTATGACACTATTCAGATGAGTCATGTGTTTGAAGAGTTTTCTGACATATAGTGCTGATGTGTGTGTCCTGGTTTACCCCATGCTGTCACATTTCTGTAATCCGTCTGTGTGAGTAATTAAGAGTGTTAAAGTGGAATCTGAACGCAGTCATATTTCATACCCTGACTCTGATCCATGAGAGAGAAGTTTGGGAATAATGCCTTAAACCCAACTGAAATAAGGAGTTTTAATCCACCCTTCCCATCACTTGTCTTCCACCCTGCTGAACTGCTGTTTTCTGAGTTCAACACTCCATATATTCATATTCTGCTGTTTTTCTGTGAGGTTCTTTAGGTATGATGTGATTTTACAAAACAAGATATTTAACTGTAACTTGTTTGTCATTTAGGTATTAGACGGTTTTAGCCATGTGTGTATGTGATTTTTATGGATTTTGTTTAAATGTTTTTTGAACATTCAATGCATTTCCCTCTCTCTCTCTCTCTCTCTCTCTCTCACACACACACACACACACACACACACACAAAATCGTGTTAAATGATTCTTTGGCTCAGGTGGGCTGGATTTTGTCCGCTCTTGATCAGCTGCAGCTAAACCCTTCTCCTGCTGTGGCAGTACTTCCTCTGGGCACAGGAAATGACCTCGCTAGGACGCTAAACTGGGGTGGGGTGAGTGAAATCTGCGCAGTCAGATGCATTCATTTCAAACATCAGTCAGAAGAACTTTCTTATATTCCTGCATTGTAAGTTTCATTGTAATTCATGCAGCATAATCTGCTCATTCATTTTTTGAATGGTTTATCGAATGGGCATTTTTTTGTACAACCGTATGCATGTAGGGTTACACGGATGAACCTCTGAGTAAAATCCTGTCTCACGTTGAGGATGGGAATATTGTGCAGCTGGATCGATGGAATCTTATTGTGGAGCCCAACTCAGAGGCGGGGTCAGAGGAAAGAGATGAGCAGGTGACAGACAAGGTACAGTAAAAGCACCACCTGCAGTGCTGTTTCTGTTTGCATCAGTATGTAAGCAGCTGAAGAATGACTGATGTTTCTTTGCTCCACAGCTCCCTTTGGACATCTTCAATAATTACTTCAGCCTTGGGTTTGATGCTCATGTGACTTTAGAGTTCCATGAATCCCGAGGTTGGTGTAAAGGCACTAGTCTGTCATATAAATGTGACTGTTTAATAGCAAGACAGTGGCTGTATGAGAGTAAAGCCTTGAGTTTCTTCTGCAAGGTCATACTTATTGGTGCTAATTGAGATTAATGATGGTTTGTCCTCTTACTCTTCAGAGGCCAACCCTGAGAAATTTAACAGCCGATTCAGAAACAAAATGTTCTATGCAGGGGTAAGTGAAACACACACAAACTCTCACACTCAAACAGCCAAGTTCTTACAAAGTACTCACTTCATCCTGCCTATTTTCTAAATGCGTGCTGTTGATCTTATTGTGAATGATTCATCCATACAGGTGTCATTTTTTAATAAGTTTTGACATTGTAATTGCTAACCGAGACTTGTCATTTGCACTTATATATTGTTGCTCTTTTGTTAGTTTTGACTGCTTTTATTGTCCTCATTTGTAAGTCGCTTTGGATAAAAGCATCTGCTAAATGACTAAATGTAAATGTAATTCTCAATCATAATGTCATAACTGGCTCTTCCAGTATGCTGAGCTTCTCCAATCATTTAGTCCACTTAATCTCCACCCCTTTCTTACAATCAACTTTGAGCCAACATTCAGATCTGCCTTTATCCAATCAATAAACAATGCATAGAAACAAGTCCCTTCCCAACATTTTTTTTTCTTTTCAATAACCTGTTTCTCTGTATCACAATACAGAGAAAAGTATATGTCGCTACTTCCGTTACATCACGACTTTAATAATTGCAAACCTCTTTGTAAACCACAACATTAATAATGTGACAGTGAGTTGGTGGTGACAGAAATGCAAATTATATTTCCTTTTCTACAGACAGCGTTTTCTGATTTCTTGATGGGCAGCTCCAAAGACCTGGCAAAACACATTAGAGTGGTGGTACGTATGGAGTTAAACTAAACAAAGACTCCTTTGTGCAGAACAAGAGGGGAAATATGTGTGTTTTGAAATGCAAATGAAAATGCTGTTTTTGCGGTTTGACTCTAAGTCTCTGTTTTTGCATGCGTGTTTGTTTGCATTTCTTCCTCTTGGGCTTTAGCACTGAGAGGTAGTGTGCCTAAATTTGAGTTGCAACCTTTTTTTCTGCGTACTGTTGGTTTGTTTTGCGGACTTATTCAGTTTTTACCACTTTCTTCTCTCTCTCATTCTCAATAGTGTGACGGCACAGATTTGACCTCTAAAGTCCAGGATTTGAAGCTGCAATGCCTGGTCTTCCTCAATATCCCCAAGTAACACACAAAATCTTTTTCTGTGATTTGTTCTTTCTTACGCTACCGTTCAAAAGTTTGGAGTCTGCAAGATTTTTTTCATGTTTTTGAAAGAAGTCTCTTATGCTCAGCAAGGCTGCATTTACTTGATCAAAAATACAGTAAAACTGTAATACTGTGAAATATTTTTACAATTTAAAATAACTATTTTCTATTTCGATGTATTTTTAAATGTATTCCTGTGATGGCAAAGCTGAATTTTCAGTTCTAGATAAGTCTGTGTGAAGAGTCTGCATGTTTGGATGTTCATATTAATCGCAGGTACTGTGCAATCGCAGGTACTGTGCGGGCACCATGCCATGGGGCAATCCAAGTGAGCATCATGACTTTGAGCCTCAGCGTCATGATGATGGCTGCATTGAGGTCATTGGGTTCACGATGACATCACTGGTATGTTTCACCTACCTGAATTAGTTTGAAGTGAGTTTTTATAGTGCGATTGGTGAATTACAGTCCCTGTATTGTTTGTTACGACTGTAGGCCACGCTGCAGGTCGGAGGTCACGGTGAGAGGTTAAATCAGTGTCGTGAAGTCACCCTCACCACCTTCAAGCCAATCCCCATGCAGGTGGATGGCGAGCCTTGCAAACTAGCTCCATCTGTTATTCAAATCTCCCTGAGAAACCAGGCCAACATGGTGCAGAAAACCAAGAGGCGCACATCAATACCACTGCTCAATGAGTGAGTGCAACATGTTACTGTGTGAATATTATGGCTGTCTCGATATCGTATATTCACTACACGGTTACCGTGCCCAAAAGAATGATAATATTTTTGCGATACCTGTAGAAAATTTAAAAAATGCTGTCAAGTCAATGTCTCTTTTGTGTGTTCTTTTTTTGGCCAATTAATCCCACTCAAAATAAGAGTGTTAAAAGGCAGAGAGAGAGAGTTTGTAACTATAATTGAACAAAAATAACTTACTTAGGGTGTCTAACACAACGCCTTTTCCATGTAATCCAAAACTCCTACACTGATGAGCTAACTTTTCTCGGGCGCAGGTAGTGTCTCACTTTTGTCTGTCATCTCCAACGATATAACGTTTTGTGTAGCAGTAGTAATATGTTATTGCCGCTGAATTCAACCATCAACTGGTGCTGGATTATTTACAATATTATCTTGTGAAGTATTAAGTATTAATGATATTAATATTTAATTGTTTTTCAACAATACCGGTATATAGCAAAACCCCAGGTATGTATGTAATACCAAGGAGAAGGTCTGCGATTTCTGAATGAGTTTTAAAGAGCATTACTGCTCTTTAAAAGGGCACACGTGCACACACATTTGAGTATTAGGTACGAGCTGATGTTTAAAAAATAGTCAGTGAGCAGAAAGTTAAACTGCTGGATTGATGTCTCTTTCTATTGAGCTGTTACTGAAAGTGTGAAAATTTAGTGTGAATTATTCGCTGTCATTTCTTTACCTTGACACTTGAAGTGAATTTATTACCCTTATAAATGGCTGCTAAGGACAGACGCTTGCTTAGTCCTGCTGAAATTAGATAATAGCTCTCTCTCTCTCTCTCTCTCTGAGGTTTTGTTAATTTCACACTTGACTAATTCGAGGTGAACGAATTGTATTGACGGCAGATAGGCCTGTAATGAAACCTTGTTTAAAAAGCGAAATATCGGAAGTGGAGACATATTTAATTAGTGTGGCGACAGCAGCACTGTTTAGTGAAGTGCAAGGCAGTGTACCTAGCCAAGACAGCATACTCGCTGTTACACACAGCACTGTACATCCTTTGTGTTTGCATGTTTTTTATTTTATTTATTTCTTTGTTTTTTTCATCCAGTAGTCTGCAGCCATTTCCAGAACGATTACGGATCAGAGTGAGCCGTATCAGCATGCATGATTATGAAGCTCTGCACTACGACAAGGAGAAACTCAAAGAAGCTTGTAAGTATGAAACGCACACATTACAGTCCAGAAAATACGCTTGTGACTCCTGATGTGCTGTGATTTAAAGAGTTAGTTCAAAGCCATAACCATGTCCTGAACATTGGAGGGGGGAAGGGTTGTCTTGTTCATTTTAATTAATGGAATTATAAAGAAAAAGAAATAAGACCGTAAAAGAAATTGTAGGTCTAATGGCCCATTCACACCAAGAACGATAACTGTAAAGATAACTATTACGATAAAGATATTAGCATCCACACCAATACTGTTCTGTTTATTATAAGCACAAGCTGCAGTTATGTCTTCTGCCGCTTTAAATGCATATTCTCTTTCAAATCAGGTGGATTCTGATTGGCTGTTAATGTTTTTATTGTTTATCAGCTGGACAAAAAACATTCAGAAAGACATTCCACATTCCAAAGATATCATTCCTCTGTGTTTTTATCGTTATAAGTTGTGGTGTGGACTTTTCTATACTCATAGAATTATGTTAAAATGAAGTTATACATGTTTTTGTCATCCTAACAACAAACACAGCTGTGTGTAATGGAATGCAACAGGGCAGCATCAAGAATATCAAATAATGGCCATTTCTAATTATTAGGGGGAGGGGGAAATGTGTCATCCTCAATCCACTTGTTAAGTCTGATGACGGTTTGCAGGTTTCCAAGTGCTCTATCACATCCCAAAAGCAAACAACATACGGTGCTAGTATATGCTCACTGTGTGCTGTAATAATACTGAAATATCATGATCTTAACCTTTATCTCCATACAGAAATCTCCGTTGGCCAGACAGAGATTCATCTTTTCTGAATCGTTAAAATATTGGTTTCTGTGATACTGTGACTGTATTGTATAACATGCATTTTTAAAAGCTTAGTTTAAATCTGTGCTTTAAAAATTAGATTTTTAAATGAGATGGTATGCTCACTTGAATTGTACCCAGAAAGGTTAGGTTAACTCACACAAAAATGGACAGAAATCTTTCAGATTTTATTAAAAATGTTTCATTTGTGTTTTGTAAGAGTACATTCAAGCTGCAGTTGTATTTCTCAGCACTAGGTGTCGTCCCATCTCTACAGTGAGTGATAATGGTGTGAACTGATAGAATTAATTGGATCTTTTGAGAATACATTCAGATGCAGCTTTATGCCTTTTAGGCCTGTTAGTCTGACATCTCATAAAGAAAATATCATAACATCATTTAACATCATAAAAAGACAAATTATTGCTAACTTTTAAAGTGCGTGTCAACTGTGAGAACGCGATTAGCTCTTTGCTGTTCTGTACTCTCTCCTTTGTGATACAAAAATATACCACACTTCCCTGTGTCTCATCTGCTTTCTGCTGTCAGTACCTCTTCACTCTTCAGAAGAGCCTTGACAATACCACCAACTGAACAGAAAGAGAGTGAGCGGAGAACAAACCTGAATTGAATTTGGGAACGACTGTTCAGATGTTGCTAAGCAACCCAACATTCCTCAATGGAAGAGACCTCTCCCATCTCTCGCTACTCTCTCTCTGCTCGTTTCTTCCTGTTTCCCCTGTCGCTTTCTCGCTGCCTCACTCTCTCGCTTCCCACTTTGTCAGAGAAACCTGCTGTCCTCTTGAGAATGCTCATTTAATTTAGAAATATTACCCTGCCTCTCTGAAGCCTGTGAGGCTCAGCTCAGGGTAGGGCATGACTACTGCTCCTCCAGCTTTCAAATGTACACTGCTGTATCTTCATAACGCTAAGGGTGGTTGAGTGTAAAAACGCTACAGTTAGGATCTCAGTGTGGGTGGGATCTATGCTTTTTACTCTTTTCCTCTAAAGTGACTTGGACTTGAGAATATCCATATGCATGAGAGTACACATGTACCCTCGGCAGTCACTGCACAAACATCATATTTCATCATATTCTCTCACTGACAGCACATTTAAGAGCAGGCCTACAGCCATGTGTCTACAAAATGCCTGCAGTGGTTTAGACTCTAGTGCAAGTAAAATTGCCACATCCTCCCCATCACGTCCTATTACTGTCTGACCTTGTTTCATGAGGAATCTGTGGATTAGTTTGAATGAGTTTGATTGGGTCTGAGCCAGTGCATGTTGCATACAACTGCCATAAATCATATTCATCAACTCTTCTGCTTACACATGTATTCACAAAGATAGAGATGAATTAGCTTATACCATACATGATTGAAAATAGTTTTTCTTTCTTTCTTTCTTTCTTTCTTGCTTTCTTTCTTTCTTTCGCAGTCTTCTTTTATTTTTACTCTTTCTCCCACTGCTGATCAGTATCTCCTGAGAGGAAAAAATGTGGGCCAGGTTTTTCACAACACACAGTAGGCTGTTACTGTGAGAGTGAAAGAAATATTCTGTTTCTTCTCATCATCCCTCGTTCTAACTTCTCTTTTTATCTTTTTCCTTATCACAGCAATTCCACTGGGTCTCATCGTTGTCCCGGGAGACAGTGATTTGGAAACCTGCAGAGCTCACATCGAGAGACTACAGGAGGTAAAAAATGAGAGGGTGGGGTTAAAAGATGAAGTGGGGTAAAAGTGAAAAATGAAGAGGACCGGAAAAGAGAGAGGAGGAGAGAGGTGTTAGAGTTTGATTAATGATAGGAACAGTCAGTCACAGTCAGAATATAATGAGGGAGAAGTTATACTGCACTACAGTACCGAAAGTAGTGCTCAACTGAATTGTCCTTTAGGACGCAGATTGTACAACAGCACCACATCAAAATTGCAACACCTTTATTAACAACAGTTAATGAAATGGGTATTATGAAATCAATGAACAAATTCTATCATCATTTATTCACCCTCATGTCATTCCAAACCTGTATGAATTTCTTTTGTGGAACATAAAAGAAGATATTTTGAAAAAAGTTGGTAACCAAACAGTTTTGGTGACCGTTGACTTCCATTTTATGGACAAAAAAACCCATCTCAAAATATCTTCTTATGTATTCCAACAGTGGAAAGAAAGTCATACAGGTTTAGGACAACACCGAGTTGAGTAAATGATGACAGAATTTTTATTTTGGGTTAATTATCCCTTTAAATTATACATAAATCGTTCATTCATACTGCTGTATATTTAATAGGTTAATGATAACTAATTATCATGAATCTAGCTTTATAAATGATTTTATTTTTATATTGTTCATTGCTAGTACACGATACCATTAACCAATGTTAATAAATTGAACCTTATTGTAAAATGCTAACCAAAAATCAAACATTAAAATATGTTGCTAATACTATAGCCCAACAATATGCATAATTATTAAAATGACATATGAAATAAGAAAATCTTTTAAAGTCTTTTAAATCCTGATGATGCCAAGCTCTCTAGACAATAATTAACAGAAAAAATTAATTGGGATGTGCGCAAAAAATTTGTGTCCTTTTGCAAATAAACCCACATTCAGCTTTCTGTAATGTATTTTGAATCCATGCCAGCATCTGCCTCATGTAGTTTGTTTCTGTGAAGTGACAAATGAAATACTGTAGTTTAATCAGACACACAGTCTTTGACGTCAGCAACTAAAAATAAGGTGCAGTGTTTTCTTCTCCTTTTTTAAAAGTTATTCTAATAATTTACTGTTGTGACTATACTCATGTTTTGGTTAGGTGAACATTTTACTATATGCATTTACTATTGTATTTTCCCCTACTGTTGTGAGCCCCTGGTAGAGATTATCTTATTCATTCATGCCACCCCATTCTGGCCTTGTTTTAGTTCATACATTCCCATCAAGAAACAGTGTTTGTACAAATATAACTTCACAATCAAATGAAAAAAAAAGATTTCCAAACCAGTCAGAGCCTTCGTTTAGAGGGATATGTACAGTAAATGATGGTTTGATTTTAGAGGGGAAATCTCTCTCACACACACTCTCATACACTGTGCAGCAGGTCATAATGAAACACCCTTGGCAGAAAGGTTGTGTGAGTGTTTGTGGCAGAATAAAGTGTTTTTCAAAAAGAAGAGTAGTCTCAAATTCACATGCTAATATTTATTCACGATCTTCTCCCAGAAACACTGTTGTCCAACTGCTGCAACCCTATATGATTGTGTATGTATCTGAACTGATGGGCTTAGTGAGTGTTTATCTAATTTAATGGGGTCTCCTGCAGGACTTTGTGTCGTGTCACCCATCTCTGCAGCGGCTGGTGCTCCAGGTGGGTGAGACACCTGCGAGAGGTGAGACAGGCACACCTGGAGCACTTTCAGGAACACGACTGGAAATACAGCCTGGACAAAGAACCGAGAAAACCAAACACAGTGCTGTATGTCAGATTTTGACGAACATGCCTCCACAGACCCAAACTAGATCAACTTCAGCAGCACATTTGTGTACTCTAAAAGTAGGCTCGGAGGCAGACATGTTTACCGTGAGAGTGCATAAACCCCTAGAGAGATAAAATGAGCAAGAGAGTTTGTTTTCAGATAGAGCTTAACATGATCCCTAAAGCAGAGTATTCCGCAATTCATCCTAAATCTCTCCCACATCATTCTCTGTGAGATTAGAGCACTCTAGCGCCTCCTAGACACTAGTCTGTTTGCAGGCATGAAGACCCCTAACCCTTGTTAGTACAGCATTCCCTTATGACAGATGTTATGGGTGAAACTTCAAATAAGCATAAATTGCAGTAAGCGCTTACTAAGTTAAATCCACTCGTTCAGAACTTGGTTCCCTGGATATTTCCCCTGGGTCCTAAGTGCTCCCGTGTGCTTTGTTTGGATGGATGCCTTGGATCACGTTTAGCCTTTGTTGAGAATGGCAGTTTTCTTTATAGTTATGGTGCATGCAGGTGTTGTGTTCTTTGTGTGCTTTGAGTGTAGTCTTTGTAGTGTGTATTTGACACTGTTGCATGACTTATGTAGATCTACAAATGGCAGTTTGCTGCTTTAGGGAAACAACTGATGTGACAGAAAATAACGACAGGTCTGTGTGTGTGTATGTGTGTGTGTGTGTGTGATGAAAATAGTCAACTTAAGCACTGTTCATTCATATACTGATCATTTGCTTTGAGTGGCATAAACTGACACTAATCGGAATTCTATCAACCTTTCTTCTCTTCCCATCTCCTACCCTACACTTTCTTCTCATTTCATTCACAGGAAGGTGACGGGACCAAATTGAAGGCTTTGTCATCTCAGAGGCTGTCGCCAAAATGGTGCTTTCTCGACTGTGAGTATTCACAGTAGTTTGGATGTTAGAATTCAGAGTCAGATCTGGGGTGCTGAGCAGCATGTGTGCCATGGTGGTCCTCAAGGATGTGGGCTGGAGTTGTGTTTATCAGTGCGCAAAGCTGTAGGTGTTTGCAGTGAATAAAATGGCAAAGAGTAAAGGTCAGAAATTCAAAACCATGAGTCAGACCCACAAAATATTCTCTCATCAGTGCTAGAATCGAAGCTAGGAAAAGACAAAGAGTCATGAATCTCCATACTAAAGAACAGAATCTACTCTGGCATTTCAGTGCTAATAAGGAGTGCCAAGATGATTACTGTCAGCAGGTGAGAATTACTGCCACAGGGAAAGAGGCAGGAGCTGTTTGCGTTATAATGACTGCATGTCTGGAATGATGAACTCTGCGTGTGTTCCACCAGATCACACCTGCAGATCAGCAGGAACTCTGAAAATTTAAGGCATCACAGCGGCATGCAATTTTCTTTTTTTCAGTTAAAATAGACTACCATTGAAATGTTTGGGCTCAGTAAAACATTTTGTATTAATTGTTTGTTATTAGGAAGTTAATACTTTTATTCAGCAAGGATGCATTAAATTGTGCATTGTGATGACATTTATAATATTTTTTAAATAAATCCTGTTCTTTTGAAGTAATGAAAGAATCCGGAAAAAATGTATCACTACTGAATGGCTGCTGAAAATTCAGCTTTGCCATCATAGTAATAAATGTTTAAATTAATTCAATACATTTTTTATATAAATTCTAATAGGGAACAATTTTTTTTGTTATAACATTATAATAGTTCAAAATATTACCTTTTTTACTGTATTTTTGATCAAATAAATGCAACCTTGGTGAACATAAGAGGCTTCTTTCAGAAACAATAAGTCATACTGACCTCAAACTTTTGAACGGTAGTGTATTTATTTAAACAGTGCTCTGTTTGATTTACACTCTGTCCTACAAGCTCATTATTTCCATTATGCATACTTTTATGTGAACAGCTTTCCAGTTCTTGTAGTAATCTCCTTTTTGATCAGTGTGAAGATGTGGATTAACGTCAGCTCAATGAAAAGTGGAGAATCGGACTACATAAGTCTTGATGAAAAGGATGCAATGATATGTTCACAACCTAGTAGTATCAATGCACAATTATATAGTGCCATATAATGGCAACTAATTTAAATACATTGATAAGAGGGAAAAGTCATTCTTCAAGGAGTCAAGGCTTTTAGATTACATTTTTCATTTGTAAACATTCCCTAATGCACTGAACTTTCAAGGAGCAAAGAGATAATTATGCACATTATGTATTCTATAAGAACTGATTAATAAAAATAAATGGCTAGTCGCATACAGGCAGTGGCGGCTCGTCGGGGGAGGCACAGCTTCCCCATAATTTTGAGGTGAAAATGGGAGGACGATTTAATATTAATAAAATTCACAATTAATTTCAGTTCATGTCTCAGAATGTGTATTTTTTGTTTGTAATTTCACAGTTGTAATACCATAACATGAAAGCGCCGCTTTTCTATCATGAATGTGCCGAATCTGCTGATGTAATTACAGCCGCTAATGATAGAGAAGGTTAGGGGGAGGCCGGGGGAGAGCTGAGCTCTCGTGCCTCCGTTGGTAAAAAAAAAATTTTAGCCAATCACCATCGAGTGTTCACTTTCATCACTGAGGATTGTTGAGAAAAGAAACCTCGTAGAGGAGGCTAGCCTCCCTTCTGATATCAACCAATCATCAAAGAGACGTAAATTACGTGATATTAGTTTGAACATCTGCCGCTGCACTGATAATGTACCAAGTACTTATGATGAGTAGCGATATTGAATATTTGATTGCCAACAGATTTGCCAAGCTGTCATTCAAACAGTATATATACAAATTTAGGGAAAACAGCCTAAGCTGGATATAGGCTACAGCAGTCGGCTTAATTAAATGGCGCAACAGGCAGCTCTCTTTTAACACTTTTAAGAAGGGATGGATGTTTGCTTCAAGTGATAGACCAGGTAAGTGAAATTATATTATCTTGCTGTATGTATGTCGTTTTCTTTACGTTTTCTGACTAAAAGCAACCAAAAAGCCATTTTAAAGTGGTTAAGCAAATAATAATAATAATCGTCAGGGATCCCAGACCAATACAATTAGTGTGCCTCCTCTATTTTAAAACCCACGAGCCGCCACTGCATACAGGTGACACTTTTGTTGAGAGGTGCATTGAAGCATTGACGTCGAAAGGGCCATCAGACTTCCTTTGACAGCATCTCGAGATACGGAGAGTCAGTCATCATTATACACAAATCCTCTGTGACAGCTGAGTCACATTCACATAGATCCTAAACTGCTACACATCAAACCAGTGAAATAGTAGATCACAATCCCCTGTTCGATTCTTGCATCTTTCCACCTTTCATTCCAGTCCCTCCTTTCTCTCCTCCCACCGGCCCAGAGCCAAACTCATCTCCTCATTTTAAGACTAAAAAGCTTCCAAGGGCTTTATTACCCGAGCAGAGAACTGCAGGATGAGTCAGAACTTTTCAGAGTGATTGTGGCAGCACTTCTGATCTCAGCTCAATGTTATGAAGTTGCTGTCAAATAATTACCAGTGCAAGCAGGGGGAAAGTCTGATCCGAGGCCAGTGTTATACAGTTTTCATGGATCATCATAGATCATTCATGCCCCAGAGTGTGAGGAATCATGTACATTCATTACTTATGCTGCAAATGTGTTATCTTCAGGTATATGGACGAGCTTGTGGGAATTTATGTGTGCATTTCAGCATGTGCATTCTCTTTGGGAGTAATTTGTTTGGTGGGATGTGAAACCCACAGCAATCTGTTTTCTCGCTCATTAAGACAACATGAGAGGAGTGTTTTGTGTCTGAGTGTCACATACCTTCACAAATCCAGCAACACCACTGGTCTAAACACTTGGCCTGCCTTCTTGTAGCATCCTCTGATTCGCTCAGATCATCTTACAGACATTTGTTGCAGCCGAACTGTCCAGGAGTGTCATGGGCCCATGTCAACTATGAACATATTTTGAAATCTTTTTTTGTTATGACCCAGCTGGGTTAGGTTAAATATTTGATCCTACATTATTTAACTATAGCTTAAAAATTACTATACTGCTGAAAATGACTGTTCTCCCAAAATGAGTTGTAAATTAAAATCACTTTAACACACACTGAATGACTACTGTAACAACACAGGCTATAGTAATTATCAGAAGGTAAAAAAAATATTGCAAGAAAACAGAAATAGACAATAATATAAGCAAAAGTGCAGAAAAGAATGGCAACTCAACAGTTACACATCTTACACGGTTAAACGATATTCCTTTTTTTAAGTGTTAATTGAACATTGTTGAATAAATGTTGATTATTATGCTTTGATTAGTTTTCTTCTAGTTTCTAAACGTATGCCTGTCATGAGTACTGTTGGGTTGAATGAATGAATGATGCACTTATATAGCGCTTTATTGTGTATTGTTGTACACCCAAAGCGCTTTACAATCATGTGGGGGGTCTCTCCTCAACCACCACCAGTGTGCAGCATCCACTTGGATGATGTGACGGCAGCCACAGGACAACGGCGCCAGTGCGCTCACCACACACCAGCTACAGGTGGAGAGAAGAGAGAGTCATAGAGCCAATCAAGTGGTTGGGGGATTATTGGGAGGCCATGATTGACAAGGGCCAGGGGGGCAATTTGGCCAGGACACCGGGGTTACACCCCTACTCTTTACGAGAAGTGCCATGGGATTTTTAATGACCACAGAGAGTCAAGACCTCGGTTTAACTTCTCATCCAAAAGACGGTGCTTTTTGACAGTATATTGTCCCCATCACTATACTGGGGCGTTAGGACCCACACAGACCACAGGGTGAGCACCCCCTGCTGGCCTCACTAACACCTCTTCCAACAGCAACCTAGTTTTCCCAGGAGGTCTCCCGAGCAATTATGAGCAATTATTGACCCAAATTGGAACACATCAACCCAGCTTCCTTACCCAGTAGTCTCAATCAAGTGTTTGAGTTGAAAAAAATAACCCAGGGTTTTATAAAGTGAAGATGTTGAAACAATACTGTTGTGTAATTGGAGAGAGAGATGTTCTGTCATCTCTTCTGCTTGAACTTGCTCTTGAATGTCTGGTAGCTAATCAGAGGCCTGATTTGTGTTGTTTTGTATGTTTTGTGTTTGCAGCTACAACAGCGGATCGATTCTACAGGATTGATCGAGCTCAAGTGAGTCGTCCGTACAATACCTCTTAGAGTAATTCAAACTACAATTGAGCAATTTTGAGTTTCCACAAATAAAGCATTCACATTTGCCTGGTTTCTGTGTCACCCCTCAGGAGCATCTTAACTACGTGACTGAAATTTCTCAGGATGAGCTGTTCGTTTTGGACCCAGAGCTGGTTGTCACAGAGACAGTCAGCACATCGCCAGGCATGCCAGACCTGGTGGACTCCTCTGGTGATGCCCCGTCTGATCCACGTAAATTTGCCTTCCCATCATCCTCTTCTTCTCCACCAAACTCACCCGGACCCAGGTGAGATATTGTAAACATACACGGACAAACATAAAGGGAACCGTTTAAATGTATCCAGTGCCACTGTGCCAGCTAATCTTTGCCTTTCTTGTCAGTTTAATGATGTTTTGATCAATGAGTTACTTTATACAAACTTTCGTACGGGAGACATTTTCATTATCAGCGGCAGCTAATAACACCGATGGCTGTTAGCTGACAGCAGCTTCTGCTCTGTAACATCAGCCAACAGGGAGCAGTAGAGCATCGAGCCGGCTGGTGGCAGTGTGGTTCTCACAGCTCAGCTGCTTTGTACAAATGCTACATTAACAACACTAATTCTAATATTACTGATAACTGTATGTTTAACATCCACCTAGGGTGCCTTATAGTTGTTGCTTTTGAGATGGTTGTTATATGGTTTTATAATTGACACTTGTGTGTAGACAGGTTCATACATGAATGTCTATAAATGTATGCTTGTGCAAATGAGAAAGTGATTGTGAATAGCAGGATAATTGTGTGGTTCAGAGTGAATAAAACAGAGCATTTCCTGCAGCACAGAGCTTGATCCTCAGCCTGAAAAAGTCATACAGCACCGCAGCCCCTGTGTGTGTGTGTGTGTGTGTGTGTGTGTGTGTTCGGAGGGGTAATAGAGCTGAAGACAGAGAATACAGCAGTGTTAATTTCATTGACGAATAATTTTCGTCATAATTTTCATCAGCAACATTTTTTTCACCGACGACAATGAGACTATAACGAACTAAAACTCATTTTGAATGACAAAAACTATGACGTAAATCTATTGCCATTTTCGTCAAAGAATAAAAACGAGAAGAAATGTTAGGGAGGGACGATTTGGGAAGAGATTCATTCAGAACGAATGTGTGTGTGTGTGTGTGTGTGTGTGTGTGTGTTCGGAGGGGTAATAGAGCTGAAGACAGAGAATACAGCAGTGTTAATTTCATTGACGAATAATTTTCGTCATAATTTTCATCAGCAACATTTTTTTCACCGACGACAATGAGACTATAACGAACTAAAACTCATTTTGAATGACAAAAACTATGACGTAAATCTATTGCCATTTTCGTCAAAGAATAAAAACGAGAAGAAATGTTAGGGAGGGACGATTTGGGAAGAGATTCATTCAGAACGAAACTGCTGCGTCGTTCGGAGGTTAGATGCGTACATATGAACCGGCGGGACATAAGCTAACATACACTTGCTGCAAGTCGCATAAAACGTTCAAAAGTGTCAATATGTGGTAGTTAGAGAAGAGCAGACGTATGGATGAATCTGACTCAATTCGGTCCAGTTTTCAGAGTGCAGACACTGAAGCATACACACACAGAAAGCGCCTCTCACAGCGCTCTCTCAGCGAGTACTCTTTCACGTCACATGAATGGAGAATTACACACACAATTATGTCGAATTGTCCGTTTTGGATCTAGAATCTAGAATTTAGTTGCTATTGTCCGAGTCATTGATGTTAATCAAGCAACAAAAGAGAGCGAAAATCACTCACTGCTCTTGACTGAAAAACTTTAGTAGCCCTAAAGATTAATCTAAATTTATTTATAGAAATATATATGTCTGCTTGAAAGAATGAAGAATGTGGTAAACAAGTTGCTATAAAGAATGCATAATTAGCCTATATAACCATTGGTATTTCATTCAAAAGAAGACCATGTTCTTGTTCTTTATGAGAAGTGGTTTTATTTAATTTTAACATAAAGGCATGTTGTGTGTCACGGCAGTTAAATCTGTATCTATCATGATAAAACCTTAATATCAAACCCTCCCCCACACTTTTAATATCATGTAAATTCGTCCCCCGCACTTTTTCGGGCAATTGTGTTCGCATAGAGGTTATCAAGAGCCAGTGAGAATAAATATCGATTTAAATTCAAAGAGACAGGATAGTCTGTGCATGATCTGATGTTTTATTCGGACCCAGAATAAGGCGAGATGAACATCACGGAGTGCTAAACGCTCTGTGCAGTGTATGTTTCATTCATACTCGAAGCCGGAGGGAGCTCTCGCGCAGAAAGTCGTACGAGGAAATTCCTAATATGGACAAAAGCGTCCAGCTATCTGTATGAAAACAGTTGTTTTCACTGAAAACAGAAACTTTTGGAAACATGAAGACATTAAACATACGATTGCGACAATATATGGTTTATTTGTGTTTGTAAAGTCATCTCCAGGTAATAAATAAATATGAACAATGCAGTGCTAATTGATATATCATTTATTACAGTATAGAAACTATTCTGCCTTGTGTGATAAAAAAAAAAGTGTTTGTAGTATATACACAAATCATTATTATTGGTTATTGTCCAGCAGTTATCTGATTTCTAAGTCAATTAAAAGCTAGAAATTAGAGAACAATTAAAGTTGCCTATACACTACCAGTCAAAAGTTTTTGAACAGTAAGATTTTTTATGTTTTTTAAAGAAGTCTCTTCTGTTCACCAAGCCTGCATTTATTTGATCCAAAGTACAGTACAAGTTTGAAATATTTTTACTATGCTATTTAAAATAACTATTTTCTATTTGAATATATTTTAAAATGTAATTTATAGTGATTTCAAAGCTAAATTTTCAGCATCATTACTCCAGTCACACGATCCTTCAGAAATCATTCTGGTATTCTGATTTTCTGCTCAAAAAACATTTATTATTATTATGATGTTGAAAACAGCAGAGTATAATTTTTTCAGGTTTCTTTGATGAATAGAAAGTTCAGAAGAACCGCATTTAGGCT